TCTATCTGCTTGGAGGAAGTTCACAGTGGGACAACAATGAAGTTAGAGGGTCTTTTGTTTCTAAGTCTATTGGTCAAGTCATGCTTTGGCATAACCGATTCGGTCATTTATCCTTTAGGTCTTTGAAAAGCTTGTTTCCTATTTTATTTGAATCTATCCAGATGTCCAGTTTAAAGTGTGAAAGTTGTGAGCTTGCAAAGCACTGTAGAACAACATATTCATTAAGTAATAAGAGAAGTAGTGTTCCTTTTGACATTGTGCATACTGATGTTTGGGGACCATATCACATCACTGCTATGGGGGGATACATATACTTCTTGTTATTTGTTGATGACTATGCCCGGTTTTCTTGGGTCTACTTGATGCGTTCTTGAGATGAGGTCCCTACCATAACCCAGACCTCTCATTAGATGATTTTAACCCAATTTGGGGTAAAAATCAAAATTTTCAGATCCGATAATGTGAGAGAATACTTTAAAACATCACTAGCCTCTTACTTTCTTGACCATGGGATTATCCATTAGAGTACCTGCCCTCATACCCCTCAGTAGAATGGGGTGGCCGAGATAAAGAATAAGCACATATTGGAAGTAGCTAGAAGTATCATATTCAACTCCAATGTGCCTATACATTAGGGAGATGCCATTCTCACAGTTGTGTATCTCATCAACCGAATTCTTTCACGGGTTCTTAACATGAAACCCCCATTCACTCTTTTATATCATGATAAAGAGTTGTTTTCTATCCCCCTTAAAACCTTTGGTTGTACCTACTTCATACAAACTCTTGGCCCTCGCTATTCCAAATTTGACCCTAAAGCCTCAAAATGTATTTTCCTTGGTTATGCACAAACTCAAAAGGGACATTGCTGCTATGAACCTGCTTCAAGAAAGAGATTTGTATCCATGGATGTTACTTTCTTTGAGGATGTACCTTATTACTCTAGGGTTTCTTCTCAAGGGGAGGGTAGTACAGATGGGGTTAACACATCAGAAGTCCCTTTACCTGATGCATTGAGTGAAGAGGGGTGTAATAGGGAGGGTTGTCAAAAATGTCAGGATTTAAGAGTTTATCACAGACGATGGAGGCAGGTTGATTTCAGCCATTAGCAATCCAGGCCAATCCCAATTCTTTCTGAAGATCCAGATCTAGGTACTACATCTCTTCCAGCTCCCATTATAGATGAGCTTTCTGTTGTTGAGCCTTCTCCATCTTCTGAGCCCTCACTTCCATTGAATGACCTTGACTTTCCCATTGCAGTCCGTAAAGGCAAACACCGTTACACCTCATCCACAACCCACTGTATCTCACAATTCTTGTCCTATGATCACCTGTCTCCCTCTTATAAGTCATTTCTTACATCAATTGTTGATATTCCCATTCCCAGAATAGTACATGAAGCCCTGACCATTCCTGAGTGGAAAGATGCAATGAAAGTAGAAATGGATGCCTTTCTAAGAAACAATACTTGGGAGCTAGTTGATCAACCCAAAGGGAAGAAACCAGTTGGATGTAGATGGGTGTTTACTGTGAAACATAATATTGATGGTTCCATTGAAAGGTATAAGGCCCGGTTAGTTGCAAAGGGATTTACTCAGACTTATAGTATAGATTACTTGGAGACTTTTGCACCAGTAGCAAAAATGACCACTATCAGAGTGTTATTATCTCTTGCAGCTAGTTACTCTTGGCCCTTRTTCCAAATGGATGTTAAAAATGCCTTCCTCAATGGAGACTTGCAAGAAGAAGTGTACATGCAGTTACCTCCTGGTTTTATAGTACAGAGACAGGTAAGAAGGTTTGTTGGTTGAATAAATCTTTGTATGGACTAAAATAGTCCCCCAGAGCTTGGTTTGATAGATTCAAATAAGCCCTTGAAAAGTTTGGCTATGTGCAGGCTCAATCAAATCACACTTTGTTTATTAAGAAAGTGGATACTTCCTTGACTCTACTTGTTGTATATGTGGATGACATTGTAGTAACAAGGAGTAATAACAACGAAATTGAGTTTCTTAAAACTTCTCCATCAAGAATTTGAGGTAAAGGGCCTGGGAGAACTACGATATTTCTTGGGTATTAGCTCGGTCTAAGCATGGAATCTTTGTTTCTCAAAGGAAGTATGTCCTTGATTTGTTAGAAGAAATAGGAAAGTTGGGTGTTAAGCCAGCCGATACACCTATTGAATAGAATCACAAGATTAGTGTAGAAGGTGGAGAGCCTCTTGAAGATAAAGCTATGTTCCAAAGATTTGTCGGTAAACTATTATATCTTTGTCTTACACGACCAGGCATCAGCTATGCAGTCAATGTTGTTAGTCAGTATATGCACTCTCCCAGAGCTACCCACCTACTTGTTGTTGAGAGGATATTGGCATATTTAAAGAGGTGTCTAGGCAGACGTGTACTATTTAAGGATAATATCACATGAAGATAGAAGTTTAGACAGATGCAACTTGGTCTGGTTGTGTTGATGATAGAAGGTCTACCTCTGGATATTGTGCCTTTATAGGAGGTAACATTGTTTTTTGGAGGAGTAAGAAACAAAATGTTGTTTCTCATTCCATTGCTGAAATTGAATACTAGTCCACGGCAAATGGTGTGGCTGAAATACTATGGTTGAAATCACTGTTTGATGCATTGGGTATTACCTATGAGAAACCTCTAATGTTGTACTGTGATAATCAGGCTGCTATTAATATAGTCCATAACCCAGTACAACATGATAAAACCAAGCACACTAAAGTCGATCGACATTTTAATAGGGAAATGATTGTATCTCAAGAAGTTTGTCTTCCATATATCAACTCCAACATGCAGCTTGTTGATCTTCTCACCAAGGCAGTTTCAAAGAAGAAGTTAGAAGCAGATCTATGCAAGTTAAGAATGACAAACATCTATTCCCAACATGAGGGGGAGTGTAGAAACCACTAATGTGGTCCCCACCTCTTTCTATTGTACTCATATACAACAACTATGTGGTCCCCACCTCTTTCTATTGCACTCGTATACAACTACTAATTATTTAAGTGTTAGTCCACAATTAGTTGTTAGTCTTTTATTAGGACTTTAGTCTTTTAGTCTTTTATTAGGATTTTAATTTTGCCATGTAAGCAGTCTTATCCTTACTTCAGAATTAATATAAATAGAAAGAAGAGGCGGTAGATTAAGCATCCTCTTCTTTTCTGAAATCCTTCCTTCGAAATCTTCTTTTCTTTTCTCTTTCTCCTCTCATTTTCTCCTCTCATCCTCTTAATTTTCTGTTGATTATACACCACAGCTTGGGTTGTCAGTAGTCTCATATGACTACAGTTTATTCCCCTCTACTCTTCATTTTCATTTGAAGGGAACCATAATTAGTCTTCGACAATTAGACTGTAGATGGTTTAATCCCTAACTTTGTCTTGAAAGAGGGACTATAATCAACCAAGTAGAGGCACCTGGTTGTAGGTGGTTTGTTTCCCTCTATTTCCTTTCTCAAAAGAGAAAATAAAAGAGGGAGGAAGAAGGATACATAGCAAAAGACATATATAGGAAGTATTCACAAAGAGGACTTTCTTTTTTCTACTTGTGTTAGTGAGATTTTTCCTTCCCTGCCTTCCCTTGAGCACTTTCTCTTTTGTTCTCTCCTTATCTTTGCTTTTCTTAAGAATCTCTTGTGAAAATTTTCTCTGAAGAGTCTCTCTGTCTCCCAGCTTCCCCTTAAGGAGCTTAAATAGGGAATGGGGTAGTTATGTAACTACATCCTCCTAGGTGAAGGACACCTGTCCCTTCCAATTAAAGAGAGGGAACTCCCATACGGGATACTTTTTTTTTATAGTTTTAATGATTTCGCTAGCAGACTAGCCAACGCACGTTCTAATTTATTTAAATATTATTTGGATTAAAAAAAATGCTTTCAACAACCATAAAGGAGGTAAATATAATTGGACCTTGCTGGCTGTAGCACTGGGAATTTAGGCTTATCAGGTATAGGAGGGATCTTCAGAGATGGAGGTAATATTCTAAGTCTATACTTAGAAGCAATTGGCTTTGGATACTCAACAAGAGCTTTAGTTGTTGGCTGTTCTGCACTAGTTAAGACTAACAAAAATTATGCAGTGGCTGCACTAGTTAAAACAAACAATCACAAGTCTATGGAAGCATCTCAAGGGAAACAAAACAGATGACATAAGGGTCAAGAATCTGCTTCAACTGGACAAAAGGACTGTGCAAAGGAATTCTACAGTGCAAAATAATATAAAAACAGATTCATTCTAAAAGAAAATATGGAYCTTCCACTCAAATTGTTCCTTATTGATAGGGATCAATAGTAAATGTTTGAATCCTATTGGATTTCATCCAATCTAACTGTATTAGTAGTATGCCAATGAGTGGGCCTAGTACTATTTCATTAAAGTTGAAGAATCAATGAGCTTTTTCTACAAATTATGATAACTTGAGAACTTCTAATTGGATTATGATTTTTTATTGGATAATGATTCAAAAAGGAAAAAAGAATCGATAATCATTCTATGATGAAAATAGAATAACCATCTATTTTTGTTCATAGCATGTATAAACCATTTAGCTGATCCCATGTAGTAGGAATAAGGCTCAGGTGAACATGTATACACCATAAAATCGAAATATAAAAATCCATGGTATGATTCATAAATTTATAGTAGATCAGTGGGGTAAGGAATTGTTGTTGAGAAATCTGAAACTGAAAAGGAATTTTGTAATTCCCATGGAAACATAATCTAAACAAGCTTTCGGGGTTGTTGGTCCTATGAAGAACATGTACAACACGTGTTCTGGGTTAACAAAACTAAAAACTAGGCCAATTATAAATATATATATACATATATATATATATATATATCTCAAAAATCAGTGGAGTTACAGCTAACCATAAAAAGAAAAAATCTTTCCAGATCTGAATGAAAATTTGAGGTTACATGCTTTTTTCATTCTGCTTCCAAACTGTTAAGGACTCTGATTTCCTTATTTTTTTCTTCATAGGTATGCCTGGAGTAACTGCTTATGTTGGTTTTTATGAGGTTTGCTCTCCTAAGAAAGGAGAGTATGTATTCATATCAGCAGCATCAGGTGCAGTTGGCCAGCTTGTCGGACAGTTTGCCAAGCTAATGGGTTGCTATGTGGTTGGAAGTGCTGGAACCAAGGAAAAGGTCAGGCTCCAATTCAATTATTTTTCAATATCAATGTAATAGATCCAGAAGCAACATTTCAGTTGCTAGTGCCTAGAAAATGTTTTATCATAGACCCAATTTGATGGTTGTAACCTTTTCTCCACTTTGATTGTTACAAATAATTCTAATTATTCAATTTTATTGTCTCTTGATGCTTTACTATATTAATCTGGTTATCCAAAAGGTTGTAACAGATCAACCCTTTGCATGCACATCATCTTAGTTTCTACTTTTTGTGAATGGTCTTTGCTTGATCATTTAAAAGTAAAAAGGCCATTATCCAATGTTGGTTCTAACTATCTAGGGTCTTGGGAGGGGTAGAGTGGGTATGGTCCTAGCTTTTGGCTTTTTATTTTTTTTTTCTTTTTTCTTTTCAACAAGGTGGCTGCCTGACTTGAACCCATGTTCTCACACTTGCTCACCCGAGATTTTATCATTACACCAAGTAATTGCCCCTGCTTTATCCCTAAAAAGTACTTCTGAATTTCCCCAAACAAAAAATAGTAATTTATAAGGTGGCATAAAATGGTTATTGTTAGTTATCAACACTGTTAAGACTAATTTCTTAGTTAACTTTTTTTCCTTTCCTTTTTTTTCTATCGGCACAAATTAAGGTTGATTTATTGAAGAACAAGCTCGGGTTTGATGAGGCTTTCAACTACAAAGAAGAGCATGACTTGGATGCTGCATTGAAAAGGTCAGTATCCATTTTGTGCAAGAAAATTCCTAAACATTTAATGCAAGTTTTGCTAAACTAGTTGGCATATTATTGCTGTTTTGAGTTTTGGTGGTACAATTATTCTGTGGGACACAACTACCTTTTTGTATGAATTCTATTATCTCTTTCTAAATCGGCCCAATAGTTAAGCTGTACTAATTGCCCAATTCAACTCAAAGCAGCTTATGCCAACTATGATCTCCATAAATCCTGTTCTGCCATTCTATTGTATTAAGAGCCATATCCTCTTAGGATGAGAGTCATGGTTCTTTTTGTATTATCCTTTTCATTTTTTTCTTCTCATCCTTTAATCTACCTATTGCACCAAAAGGGGAGACATCCTTAATCATTTGTTAGTCAAAATTGCATGTTTTTAAAAAGATAGATACACTTCTAGTCCCCTAGTATTAATTTTTAACTAGGGTAGATTACAGGGATCCCCTATACTTTGGAGGTGTGACGCTATTTTTTTGTCACACTTGGCCCCTTGTACTTTCTTATCATTAGCAAATAACCCCTTCCTCACAATTGATAGTTTTTACTCATGTGCAGTGCATATTACTAAAAGAGATATTTCTGGTCATGATTTTCTAACAAAAGTTATGGACCATGGAAGTCATGCCCCAAGAGTCAAGATCAGTAAATGATGTACCGAATTAACCCAAAAGTATGGGCCATCAAAGTGGTCTCTTAAAACCAGTGTGTTAATTTCAACCATAATAGACCAAGATTCAACTAATCTAGGCCATCTAAAAAAAGTACCATATCAACACAAAAAATCTAGGCTATCAAAATGGTATCCCAAGAGTGAAGATTTAATCTTGATCAGCCATGCAATGTACCAAGATTTGAACTAATCAACAATTCAAGTAAAACACCAAAGTGTCTTAAAAATCTGAACCCAATAAAGTAATGTGTCAAATAATACCAGTTGTTCAAACAATGCATAGAATCAACCCATAAAATCTAAACTATTAAAGTGGTATCCTAACTCCTAAGAGCAAAGAAGCATTCTAAGCCATCCAAGCAATGTACCATGTAGGGGTGTTCACGGGTCGGGTTGGGTCAGTTTATTGGGGTTTTCCCAACCGACCCGACCTGGTCGGGTTACCTGAGGTGAAAACCGAAACCGACCCATTGATAGGCCAAACCGACCTAGTCGGTTTGAGTCAGGTTGGGTTAGTTTGGATCGATTTCGGTTTTACTTCTGTACAAAATGACACATAATTGAATTCTAATTGTAATTGCCTAATGGGTTGCCTATTTGGTGTAAAAGATTATAGAAAGTTAGAAAMTAKGATAGATTGCCTATTCTAATTGTAATTGCCTAAGGGGCCTTCTAGTTCTAGTGGAAGATTAGTTATAGTTAAGTAGGAAACTATCGAACTAGTAGAAGACTAGTTCGGTTCGGGTCGGGTTGGTTTCGGTTTTCACACAAGAAAACCAAAACCGACCCGATATATTGGTTTATATATTTTTCCAACCCGAAACCGACCGGTATTGATGAAAACCCGACCGACTCGGGTTGGTTGGGTCCGGGTTGGTCGGTTTGGTCGGGTTGGGCATTCTTATGAACAGCCCTAGTACCATGGTTTCAATTGATCTTGGCCATTCAAGTAAAGCACCAAAATTTCTAAATGACCTAAGCCAAATAAAGTGATGTACAAAATAAGACAATGATCAGGACCATTAAAATAGCCTCCTAAGATAAGTCAATTGATCTCAGCAATCCAATTTATGTACCAAGGTTTCAAGTAATTTAGTCTATCCAAATAATGTATTAAATCAACATATCTAAGCCATTAAAGTGGTCCTGTATGATCAAAGGATTAATCTCAACCATCCAGGTGATACCAAGATTTCAACTAATCCATGCTATCCAAATAATAATGCACTAAATCAATCAAAAGTGTTTTTTTTTTTTTTTGTATCAATAAAAACTTTATATGAAAGGATAGAAAAGAGATACAAGTATAGAAAGTCAAGGGGAGATGTACGCTTTCTTAACCCACTGTATCTCACTCCCACAGCCCATTTTCCTCTTTTTCTAACCAGCCTATTGCTAGCTTAGAGTCACCTTCAATAAACAATTGGTGAATATTCAGATCTTTTGCTCTTTTTGCACCTTCCAAGACAGCCAGGATCTTATCTCTAAGTGAATCTCCTACACCAATTGACTCTAAAAAATAAGGCAACAACCGGGGTTGCCTTTACTATTACCATCAAAGTTTAATTTGGTAAACCCACAATCTGGCGTAGACCAACTGGGATTGATTACAGTTTTAAATGGGGCGGAATTAGCCACTTCCAATTATTAAGCAAGCCCCTATTGGAAATATCCAGATTTTCATGGATTTCACCCACTGAACCACCCTAGCAGTAATGACTTCAATAATTGCACCTCTACTCATCTCCTTGTCAAGGAAAATCCTTTRATTCCTTTCTTGCCAAACTTTCTAGTATATAGCAGCTCTAGTACATCACTGTCGTACTTTTCCCTCTTCTTTGTCCAACTAGCAGCAGAAAAACCAAATAATCTTTGTACATTGGGCAGAAGAGTCCACCTACAAACTACTCAGATAAAAATCAGTCACAAATAGAAAGAACAAAGGGGCATGAKATTAATAAGTGATAGCAAGTCTCATCATTATCCTTACAAAGTATGCACCAATTAGGAGACAAGCACCAAGAGCTTTTTCTTTAAAGTAAGTCACAAGTTTTAACCTTTCCTAGAAAGGCCTCTCAACAAAAGGCCCCAATTCTTGGTGGAACCAATTTACCCCACACTTCCTTAACAAGAAAAAGTAGCCCAAGATTGTCAGAAGATTAAACCAAGGCTTTAAAAAAGGAAGCACAAGAGGGTGATAAAGTCCAAATCCTACTATCCACTTTAGTTGGGTCCAAGAACAGCCCTTGTAATAAGTGGATTAAGGCCAAGACATTGTCCATATCTAAATCTCTGAAACTCTTCCTAAATCCCAAATCCCAATCAAACTTGACTCCAAATGAAAAGGAACCAAAAAGGTGGACACAGGCTCATTCTTAGAATTTGAATGTAGTATGACAAAGGAAATTGATGTTTTAAAGGTAAGTCTCTTACCCAAACATGTTCCTACATCCGAACCCTCAAGTGACAACCCATGAATGCTCAAGATCACCTTGGCCCACATTTTGTCCTTGTCTATTGGCACTCTCCATAACCAGTTACTCAAGAGAGCCATATTTCTCTTCTGAATAATTCCTAACTCTTAAGCTAAGCTTAAACCACCACAAGTCCTACTCCTACAGACTATCTCCCAGCAAACCCTATGGTCCTTTTTCTCCTCACCTAGTTCCCACAAGAAATATCTCATCAATTTTTCTGGACTTCCTCACATCCTCTGGGATTTTGAACATAGAAAAAAAGTAAACAAGCAAATTGGCCATAGTTCATTTTATCAAAGTGATTCTGCCACCAAAGATAAATAGTTTTTCTTCCAAGAAGCTAATATCTTAGTGAATCTGTCAACCATAGGGTTCCATAAAAAGTAAACAAGCAAATTGGCCAAAGTTGACTTCATCAAAGTGATTCTACCACCCAAAGATAAATAAATTTTCTTCTAAGAAGCTAATCTCTTAGTGAATCTGTTGACCATAGGGTTCCAAAACCTGTTGTTTCTCAGGTTATCTCCCAAAGAAGGCCTAGATAATTCATTGGCCATTGAGAAACCTCACAACCCAAAATATTTGCACAATTCGGCATCTCCCTCTCAACCATATTAAATCCCACAACACAACTCTTGTTGAAATTGATTTTTAAATTTGGCATCCTTCTAAGAAGCTAATCTCTTAGTGAATCTGTTGACCATAGGGTTCCAAAACCTGTTGTTTCTCAGGTTATCTCCCAAAGAAGGCCCAGATAATTCATTGGCCATTGAGAAACCTCACAGCCCAAAATATTTGCACAATTCGGCATCTCCCTCTCAACCATATTAATTCCCACAACACAACTCTTGTTGAAATTGATTTTTAAATTTCTCAGGTTATCTCCCAAAGAAGGCCCAGATAATTCATTGGCCATTGAGAAACCTCACAGCCCAAAATATTTGCACAATTCAGCATCTCCCTCTCAACCATATTAATTCCCACAACATAACTCTTGTTGAAATTGATTTTTAAATTTACCATCAAAGTTTAATTTGGTAAACCCACAAGCTGGCGTAGACCAACTGGGATTGATTACAGTTTTAAATGGGGCGGAATTAGCCACTTCCAATTATTAAGCAAGCCCCTATTGGAAATATCCAGATTTTCATGGATTTCACCCACTGAACCACCCTAGCAGTAATGACTTCAATAATTGCACCTCTACTCCTCTCCTTGTCAAGGAAAATCCTTTGATTCCTTTCTTGCCAAACTTTCTAGTATATAGCAGCTCTAGTACATCACCGTCGTACTTTTCCCTCTTCTTTGTCCAACTAGCAGCAGAAAAACCAAATAATCTTTGTACATTGGGCAGAAGAGTCCACCTACAAACTACTCAGATAAAAATCAGTCACAAATAGAAAGAACAAAGGGGCATGAKATTAATAAGTGATAGCAAGTCTCATCATTATCCTTACAAAGTATGCACCAATTAGGAGACAAGCACCAAGAGCTTTTTCTTTAAAGTAAGTCACAAGTTTTAACCTTTCCTAGAAAGGCCTCTCAACAAAAGGCCCCAATTCTTGGTGGAACCAATTTACCCCACACTTCCTTAACAAGAAAAAGTAGCCCAAGATTGTCAGAAGATTAAACCAAGGCTTTAAAAAAGGAAGCACAAGAGGGTGATAAAGTCCAAATCCTACTATCCACTTTAGTTGGGTCCAAGAACAGCCCTTGTAATAAGTGGATTAAGGCCAAGACATTGTCTATATCTAAATCTCTGAAACTCTTCCTAAATCCCAAATCCCAATCAAACTTGATTCCAAATGAAAATAAACCAAAAAAGTGGACACAGGCTCATTCTTAGAATTTGAATGTAGTATGATGAAGGAAATTGATGTTTTAAAGGTGAGTCTCCTACCCAAACATGTTCCCACATCCGAACCCTCAAGTGACAACCCATGAATGCTTAAGATCACCTTGGCCCACATTTTGTCCTTGTCTATTGGCACTCTCCATAACCATTTACTCAAGAAAGCCATATTTTTCTTCTAAATAATTCCTAACTCTTAAGCTAAGCTTAGACCACCACAAGTCCTACTCCTACAGACTATCTCCCAGCAAACCCTATGGTCCTTTTTCTCCTCACCTAGTTCCCACAAGAAATCTCTCATCAATTTTTCTGGATTTCCTCACATCCTCTGGGATTTTGAACGTAGATAAAAAGTAAACAAGCAAATTGGCCATAGTTCATTTTATCAAAGTGATTTTGCCACCAAAGATAAATAGTTTTTCTTCCAAGAAGCTAATATCTTAGTGAATCTGTCAACCATAGGGTTCCATAAAAAGTAAACAAGCAAATTGACCAAAGTTGACTTTATCAAAGTGATTCTACCACCCAAAGATAAACAATTTTTCTTCTAAGAAGCTAATCTCTTAGTGAATCTGTTGACTATAGGGTTCCAAAACCTGTTGTTTCTCAGGTTATCTCCCAAAGAAGGCCCAAATAATTCATTGGCCATTGAGAAACCTCACAGCCCAAAATATTTGCACAATTCGGCATCTCCCTCTCAACCATATTAATTCCCACAACACAACTCTTGTTGAAATTGATTTTTAAATTTGGCATCCTCTTAAAGAGTTAAACCACTAACTTCAAATTCCTTGCCCATCTGAAATCATTTCCCTCGTAAAACAAAACAGTGTCATCAGCAAACTGTATATGGGTGGCAGGTAACCTGTTCCTACCCACTCTCCATCCCCTCACCAAACCTATAGAGTCTGCTCTACAAATTAGCTTCTCAAGCACATCTGCAACAAGGATAAAAATGAAGGGGGAAAGGGGGTCTCCTTGTCTAATTCCTCTAAGAGCTAGAAAGTGATTCACTACAGTTCCATTCACCAAGATTGAATAGTAGCGAGTCTTTAAGCAACTCTGAATCCATTTACACCTTTCTCCAAATCCCAAGTTTCTGATCACCTCCACCAAGGACCAATGTGCCAAGTCATATGCTTTTTCTAGATCAAGCTTATAGAGTAAGCCCTTTTTTCTAGTTCTTTTCAAACCCTCAATGCTTTCACAGGAAGTCAAAAAAATCTGTACCACTAGTGTGGTGTCTTAGAGCAATGGATTAGTTTCACCCATCCAAGTTATGTACCAAATTAAAATAATGATTTGGTTTGTCACAATGATTTCTTTACAAGTCATCAATGGATCTAAGCCATCTAAATAATGTGACAAAGTTTTTACATGGTAGAATATATGATCTCTGTTATTAAGTCAGACATCACCTAATTTTGATTTTTGCTGTTAAAGTATGGGCAATTAGTACCATCAGGGGGTTTGACATCTGAATTAAAGTATTTGGAACTATGTAGCAAAAAATAGCACAGTGGACTAGGTGTCACATCTCTCAAATTTTTATCATTGCATGCAGGAATTTTGTCTTTTCACTAGGCCTCGCCAGCAATGGGATGTGTTCAAATTGAACTCCTTAATGAATTAATGTTAAAAATTCCCTTTGATACCTTAATCTAGTTCTACCACCTAGATATCTCGTAGGTTTGCTTTATTTTTCCTGGAAGTATAGAATATGCAATCATTTCTCTAAATAATGATGGCTAATGTATGAAGCATTACCTTTGTTAACTAGTTATGACTTATGAGATAATGCACATGCAATAACCACCACCACTTATTGCCAAAACCTCCATGCCCAGCACATTGAGAACCTTTGCACTCTTGAATCCTCCTGCATCAGTTATTGTGAAATTGCAGTTCAGTACATTGTAGTCTTGAAATGGCACTGTTTTCTAGGAAAACAGTGCCTTTATCTCTGTTTCACTTCGATCCATGATAATGTTTGCCGCTGTTTGATTGTTCTCAGGTATTTTCCTGAAGGCATTGACATATACTTTGATAACATAGGAGGTAAGATGCTTGATGCAGTTCTCCTCAACATGAGACTCCATGGCCGCATTGCTGCATGTGGGATGATCTCCCAATATAACCTAGAAAAGCCTGAGGGTGTTCACAATTTGTTTTATCTTGTCACCAAACGGATCCGCCTAGAAGGATTCGTAGTCTTCGACTATTATCACCTCTATCCAAAGTTTTTAGAGTTTATTCTCCCATACATCAGAGAAGGGAAAATTGTCTATGTAGAAGACACAGTTGAAGGTCTTGAGAGCGGGCCAGCAGCTCTGATGGGACTCTTCACTGGGCGCAATGTTGGAAAACAAGTTGTTGTAGTTGCTCGTGAATAATCAGTCACTGCATGAGTCTTCAATCTTCATAATCTTCAAGATTGGTTGGTTTGGTTTTCTTTTACTAGAAGAAGCATGAAAACTTCAATCTACAATGTATTTGCTATATTCCCTCTTTTATATCAACTCCTTTTAGAAGGGAAACAAACACAAACTAATGAATCTTTAGGGTTTTGTGTGAATTTTGACTAATTAAGTGGAATGGTATGAACAACATAGCAGTTGGCAGAGATGCATCTCTAGCCTACAAGGATGTAGGGCTACGAACAGGGTTCATGATTAAAATTTTGATCTCGTTAAGTTGGCTATGGATTAGGGGTAATCATGGGCTGGGCTGGGTCAGACTTAGCACCTATGATAAGGGTTATTAGCCCATGCCAGAGTCCAGCCTGGCCCAGATCCTGGGCTTAAAATATTAGCCAGAGCCGAGGTTTGTAAGGCCGGTTGGCCTATGGCATCTAATAATAAATATTTAATTATTTATTAAAATTTTAAATTAGATAATGTATAATACATAAAAAAAAGTATTGCACAAGGCCAAGCTAGGTTATTCTTTGGGCCTATGGCACAACAAATAAGGCATGGGCCTCATTTAATCCATACACGTAGTTTGGCTTGACTGTGTATCGTTTTATAGATGAAAGCAATAAGGCCTTTGCCTATGAGGACAGTTCTCATATTTGAGTTGACCCATGACTTGGCATAGGGTGTTGGCTCACGAATATGTATATGTTAGAATTTTTTGTATTTTTACAAAATATTTAATATAAAATAAAATATGTTTGTATATATGTTATTGTAGGCTGAATCAGGCTAGGTTTCCTTGGCCAAGTCAAGAATGATCATCACCCCTACTTATCAAAGAAAAAGCATATTATTTTTACATTTTTTTACTACTCAGGACCCATGCAATGCACGGGTTTTGTTAAAAGAAATTGAAGCTAAATGAGCTCATGAAATTAAAGGAATATAGATGAACATGGGTCAAGCTGATTCTGAGTCACCCAACTTATGGGTGGTTGGCTTAATTGGTATGAGTGTATGACCACTGGCTTGTTCTTGCGGAGACTTGGTGTGTGTGTGCAACGATTACAGCAATTTTAGGAAGATTCAACAAGTAAGCTAAATAACTACTTGAAGTAAACTTAAAGAAAATGTAGGTAAACAAGGAATACAAGCAAGTGAATCAAATAACTGCAGCAATGAAAATTCAAACAATACTGTAAAGCAATTAGCATATGTAAATAAACAAGAGAGTAAAGTGGCTGCATTAAATATATCCAGGTCCTGTTTGAGAACACATAAAAGAAGTATTTCTTTTAAGACATGGGACCATACATTAAGTGGTTTTTAAGTATTTATGGGTGTTTGGTAAAAAAGTTGAGTACTTTTTTTTGAAGTACTTATTTGAAAAAGTGACTTCAAATTGGCTTTTTTTAAGTACTTCTTGAAGAAGAACTTTTCCAAAAAAATAGGGTGAACCAGTCCCTAATAAATTTCTATAATGCTTAAAAAACCCCTGCACCCAAAAATCATTGTTTGTCATCTTCTTCCCTGACTTGTCCCCACTCCCCAATCTAATGTTTCACGGCTTCAACTTCGTCATCTTCCTTCCGCCCCTCCCTTCCTTGTCAGTCAATCTGGCTTTGGATTCATGTTTACTTGTTTACTTCATATGAATTGCAGAGCCCCTTTTGGATTTGGGTCTCTAAGTTTCAACGGTTTAAATGATCTTGCAATCTGCTTCTGCGAGATGGGTTGTCTCGCGTCTTGTTTGGGTTTCGCCTTCTGTTTATCCTTGTAAGATTGATAGAATTGGGGTTGGAGTGGAGGTGGAAATGTAAGGAATTTCCGGTTAATTGGGTGTTGTGGGAAAAAATTATTTCTTGGAATTGTCTCCAGTAAGGTTTCTCGAAGAAGATGGATTTGTAGAGCATGTATGCTTCCTTTGACCGATGGTCGAAATCTGAATCTGAGTATTGAGTTTTGCAATTCAGTAAGGCGGGGCGCAAAAGTCTTGGTTGCTAAGCGATTTGCAGATGAATTGGACCATGGAGAACTTGCTCTGGAGCATATTCAAATGGTGTCGAGTTTTACTAGCTTCTAGGAAGATCCTATGGTCGATAAACTCAGGACTCAACTACGAGTAATCCACCCCATTCCCTCTCCTCCAATCAACAGGAATGTGGTGGGTCCTTTTGTCTTCTTTTTCTTTGTTGGGGTTGTCTTTGATAAGTTGTGGATATCAAGGAAGAGAAATAAACAGAGCCTTGATTCTTGGACTGGTACTTGGCCACAGGTGCCTACAAGCTTTTCTTTGTTCCTGGAGAAGGATTTACAAAGAAAAGAGTCTGTGGAATGGGTGAACACGGTTCTCGGAAAATTGTGGAAGGTGTACAGATCTAGTATTGAGAATTGGATCAATGGGTTGTGTCAGCTTGGAGACTTGTTCTCTGTCATCTTCCCCTATTATGATTAGTTATTTATTATTATTATTATTATTATTATTATTATTATTATTATTATTATTATTATTATTACTACTATTATTATTATTATTATTATTATTATTATTTACAGTAATTATTATTATTTATAATAATTATTATTATGATTATTTTTTATTTTTTATTTTTTATTTTTTATATTATTATTATTATTGTTAATATTAGTTATTATTATTATTATTATTTTTATTATGATTATTTTTTATTATTTATTGATTAATATTATTATTATTATTATTATTATTATTATTAATTGGATCCACATGGCAATCCACGTGGGGTTCCACGTGGGCTATAGTTGAAATGTATATTATAGCATGTGAAAATTATTATATTTATGTATGAGTGAAGTGAGGGTTAAAATTGTCATTTGTGTCAATATAAACACTTATGGGGAAAGTAGCTTACCAAACATTCCCACCCCAATAAGTGCTTAAAAACATAATAAGTGATTTTGAAAAGTGGGTTACCAAACAACCTTAAGTGGTTGCTAAAATAAGTACTTCTTAGAAGTAAGTACTTCTTTTAACAAGTACTTAATCATCAAACAAGGCTTCAATGTGCTTGTTAGTGTAGTTAGTAGAATATAAGTTAATAAGAGAAGGGTAAATAGCTGCAAAAGTATCAATGTTCTCTCCTCTAGCAAGCAATCTTCTAAGAGCTTCCACTAAAACCAATTGCTCTTCTTGGGCGCCAACAAGACTTTACAACCAGTAGATCTTATAGGTCTCTACCAAACTTTGATTGGAATTTCATGTCCCAATCAATATCTCTACTAGTAAATCTCAAGGTCTCTAGCAAGCCTTGGTTGGTCTTCTAGGTCCCAATTAAAACCTTCTAGTGTTCTAACCTAGCTTGAACACCACCTATTTGCAAATGATATCACAATGAAGCTCAAATATAACAAATGCCAATCAAATAGGTAGATAAACTAAATACAACTATTCAAATGCAGAAAATAGCTCAACACATATAATTTAGTTCAGTTGAAGAGATTCAAAATAGTTCAATAAAAACATATAAAACTCAAGGCTACTCGGTTTTTCTCACTATCAAAACTCATGAAGCTCAAAAATCTTTCAAGAAAAAAAGAGTTCTTGCAAAAACTTGCTCTCTAAAGCTATATAGTTTATACAATATTAACACTTGTTCTTCTTGTTTGATTTCAAACCAAAACCTCTTATATAACGGTTGAGAGCAAGTGACCAATTTCTAGTCGTTGAGAAAACTTGAATCTACAATAGGAAATGTTCAAATATGGAACTAGTTATTATGCCTTCCAATGGTCAAACTTAAAGGAAAGTAGACTATTATGAGTTAGTAGTTGACTACAAGTCAAAGGGACGAATCTTTTTTCTCCTTTAGTCGACTACCTCCTCCTACTACTCAATTGGTTAAAGTTCATTGTCTTGGCTATAATGGGTAGTCAACCATAACAAAATGGGTAGTTAACTACTGAATAGTGCCAGGGCATTCTCATATCTTGATTGTCAAGGGTATTTAATTATTCTAAAATAGGTAGTCGACTACAGGTTGCTACTACCCTTGGCTTCCAAGGATAATTGATTATAGGTTTCTAATAGTTAACTAGTGACAACTCCAATACTTAGAAACCATGAAAACTTTAGCCAAAGGATTGAAAAGCTTTTTCTTGCCTTTCAAAAGTGACTTTTAACATTTTAAATCTTGCTTGAAGTCCAGCCTATAAACCAAACCTATTCTAACCATTGGTTTCTAAGATTGGTTTAGCTGGGTTTGGTCTTGTTGAGGTCAATGTGTTGTGGATCTTAATCAAATGATTTTATCAAGAACCTAAACACAAAAACATTTAAACTCATGGACTTGATGCTTTCTTTTTCTCTGTTGAGTTGATGTAACAAGTCTTTAGAGGTTGCTCATTTCCTTCTTGTTCTTTGTAGCTCTTTATCTTCCATGGAGATTTATTCTCCTTTTGGAGAGTAATGATGATGATAATGTTGTTCAACAGCTCACAAGTAAATCTTCCACTTTCTTCATCATGATATGTTTAACAACATTATGGCTCAAAGAAGCTTACTTCGATTTAGTCTTAACACAAGATCAGTGCTAGCTCTTAATAAATTTTGTTATCATCAAAACGCATAAGGTCAACATTTTCCCCTTTTTTATGATAAAAACCATTAATGGATAAATGATAACAAATATTAAATACAAATAGAGAGCACTAAGATAACTCTCCTAGATAATATGCTACATATTACAATTATGCTCAATGGTGCATATAATATTTAATCATTCAACAAGATAAAATCATTTAAGCACTAATGTGGCATTTAAGCATTACATATAACAATTTAAGCACAAAATAGCCATCATAGAACCAAATGTAAACATTTAAGAACATTTAGGAGGCATTTCATTGTTTTTGTTCTTTATATTGTTTTTATTTATTGTATTTGAGGTGTTCAAGGAAGGGCACACCATTACAAGTTGGGATAGCACCCATAAAGTCTATATAAGGACTTGTAAGCATTTAGAAGTCCTACTAGTTGTAAAGGTTTTACTGACACCCAAGAAGTCGAATTGGTGGTTGCCCAAGAACTCCGAGGAGGTTGCCTAAGGAGATGACATAGGTCAGAATTGGCTGAGCCTCTATAAAAATCTTTGTATGCTTTGCATTCCTACAACTTTTACTT